ACCTGTATTTGTTTAGGAATGAATCCTTCCTACTGCGCTTAGTGACCAAGTTAGTACATGTCCACATTTTTTACCTCCTCCTCCTTTCTTCTATCACCTACTTTTGATTGTTTATGTTAGTGAACTTACTCTGATATTTATGTTTGTGATTTTATGTTTACTGGTGTCTCTGCTGCTCAACCAAGAAAACAATATCTTTTGATTTCATGACACAAGGGCATCAGTGTCTTTATATTTTCCTCCTTTCCATCTGTGCCTGTCAACTTGATACTATTCCTGTTGTTTTAATTTATAATAGTTACATTCTGTTCTATAGCTATAGATTCCCCCAGAAAAGAAATGTATTTATCCCTACATCTTAAATGGACTACTTGCTCACCCTATGTCTTTGACTGTACTTTGTGCATTCTTATTGCTTGGCTTAAGCTTATTTTCTGATGGTTAATTCATGAAGGGTTCATAGAAACCAAATTCTCTCAAGTTGTATGTTTAAAGGTATTTTGTTTTTGCAACAGACTTGATTGGCAGTGTGGCCAGATGTAGAATTCTGGGGTCATATTTTCCTGCCAGAAGAGTCTGTAAATGTGGCCCCGTGTGTCCCAGTGTCCTGTATGCAGCTGTGCCAATGGCCAAGACAGGCTGCCCTTTTCCTGCTATAAGAGTATGTTGCTCTGCTCAATAAGCCTAACAAAACATCATAGGCTGAGTGGCTTCAACAAGAGACATTTGTTTTCTCACAGCTCTGGGGGCTTTAGGTCTGAGATCAAGGTGCCATCATGGTTGGTTTATGGTGAGATCTCTCTTCCTGGCTTGCAGACGGCCGCCTTCTCACCAGGTCCTCATGTGGCTCTTCCTCTGTGTGTGAGTGAGAGAGAGCTCCCTGATCCCTCTGTCTTTTCCTGCAGAGATGTTAGTGCTGTCCTGTGACCTCACTGATCCTGGGTTACCCCTCTAGGGGCTTCATCTCCAAACACAGTCACCTGAGGGTTGCAGCTTCAGCATAAGAGATTTGGGAAACAAAGCTCAGTTTATAACAAAGGGTAATGTGGAATTTTATTTATTTATTTTTTGTCAAAAGGCCTAGATTTTATTTCCTTTCTTTGTTTTTTTTTTCATTTTCTCTCTTTTTTCCCCCAGCTTAAATATGTGATGTAAATCCATATTTATTAACATGGAAAAATGTTCAACATATTGCTGAATGACAAAAAGCAGGCTCATTGACTTTTATCTTTCTGTATTCCTGTTAATTTCCTTCTATTAGATAATAGTTATTATTTTAAAAAGACATTTCAAAAAATTCAGATATCTATGTCATGATTTTGATCTGCTTTATTTTTATATTTTTCTGGGTACATGTTTTTTATCTGACATTTGTTTTTTCCTATTATCTCTCTCCCCTCTCCTTTTCTATAAGTGTTTTTATATGGTATTTGGCTAGTCTCTTTGTGTTCTTTCCTCATGTTTGAGTGAGGGGATCTCTTCCTGAACTGGCTGTGTGTGCGAGTTTAGGCTGGGTGGCAGGCAGCGTCTGGGTGAAGTAGCTTCTGTCCCAAGCTTGTCTTTCTCACAGTAGATGGTGGAGGTGTAACTTCTCACCTTGCCACCTGTGCTCTGAGGGGAGGGCCTGTGGAATGAGGCTTCTGCAGCTGTGCTGCTCAGACTGCTCTGGTTCCAAGCAAGGGCTCTCTGTTTTTTCTTTTCTCTGGAGAACTGGATATTAGCTGGTATCTGAAGTCACTGGTGTTCTTTTTCCGTGTCCTCACTCATCTGGTCTCGGTGGGGTTGTTATTGCCCTTGACAGCTCACTGTACGTCTCTTCAGTTTCACGGTGTTTGGGCGTTCTGTTATCCGAGGTGGAGTTTCCTTTTCTGTAGCTTGTTCTTGTTTTGGGGTGGATTAGTAAGAGCAGAAGTGTTTAGAGAGGGTTTGCTTTCTCAAAGATTTTTAAACCCTACAGCCAAAATAAGTTTAATGAATCACTCTGGGTGTACTGTCTATCAAATTAAGGAGTTGTACAGCATCTTAATGAACATGCTTTTAGATTAACTTTTTGTGGTTCTGATGTAATTACATGAAATTTTGGTGAACACTAAATATAGTGAATATTTCCTTACAGACAGAACCTCCCCTGAATACACCAGAAAATAGAGAATATCTTGCAGAAATTATGTTCAAATTATTTAATGTACCAGGACTGTACATTGCAGTTCAGGTAAGGACAAGTGACTTTCATGATTTCCAAGTGACCTTAGTTGTCTAATGTGGAAGAAATTGTGATTCTAGAGGCCTCTGAAAGATTGTGTGGTGTGGTTTCCTTTCCCACGCACTCAAGTGCACATGAACTCATCCCGTTCTGGTCCAAGCTCAAACACTGTACAGAGCAAGTTCTGTGATTTATGTTTTTACTGCTGGTGTAGAGTTTGTCCAGCTTTTGTCTGTTTACATTCACTAAAATCTAGGTATCCTAAGGAAGACAAGATCAAG